CATTTCACAGTGTGCAATTTTAGCTTAATTAGGATGGCAAGACTATTAACAAGTTATTTTGAAATGCAGCAAAGATCAGGAGGGGTACCAGAATGAAATTCTGCTGTGTGAGGCTGATTGGCAGGCCATGTCATGTGAGAAAGTTCATAATCTCATCTTTGTCAGCAGAGTTAGCAAAATGCCTGGGAGCTGTGGCCCCAAACCCATAGTCTGGAGCTATAATTATTCAAGTTAAAAAAAAAGAAAAGTAATTGGAAATGTGATAAGCGACGATTAGAAGGCCTATTTCAGGAAGAAAGTGAACAGCATAAGCAGATACCAATTGTCGAGACTTTCATGAGCAAGGATGGACACGCTAGTTGAAATGAAGTTTCCCTTTTGTCTGTCACCTTGCAGAGAGATTTCCTTCAGCACCGCACTGTTAGCGTGTCATCCGCAAAGGGAGCTTAAAACAGAAGTTGCCTCTTGGACACAGAACCTTCTGGGCACAAACAAAGTCTGCATTGAAAAGCTGGTGACTGGTATAAGAATCCCTGCTGAGGGCACTTGGAGACTTACTGCCAACCGGGAACGCTCCTGACCTTGCAGTAGCCGGCACTGAAATAGCCCCGGCAAAACGGAGCCTGCGACGGGAGTCAGAAGACCTTGGCTCCTGTTTTGGCTGAAGCTCTTGGGCTGGAGCCCAGAGTACAAGTGCCTTTGAGGAATGACTTTCTCTCCCTGGGCTCCCTTATGGCCGACTTCCTCCCCTCCAGTGCGCACTACATTTTCCTCTTCCCTAGTTTAAGCTAAGGAATCAGGCTTAGGAGCCTCTGGCTGTGCCCTCTTAACACCAGATTTTATTTGTGTTCAAGGTGGGAAGATGGGCTCTGGAATCTCATTGCTTCAGCTCAACTCCTGGCCTAGAGATCGTTAACTGTGGGACTCTTGGGAAAAGCTCACTCTCTGCCTTGGGGTCCTCATCGCTAACATGGAGAAAAGACTCCATCGCAGGTTTGTGGTGAAGATTAAAGCAGATAAAGTAAAACAGTGAATAGGGTTTGATGCTTCTGAATACTCAATACACGTTAGTGATTAATATGGATTCATATTTGTGAAACCCCGTGCTTAAGGGTTTTTGTCTTCCTCTATTGCATGTTAAAATAAAAATAGCCCCACTAAAACCCTTTTTTTAAGGGTTGGCGTAATCTGAAGTCATCTGAAGTCCTAAGGTACATTTCGCCCATTGGGCAATGCTGTCCACATATATTCATTCATCTTCCAATCGTTCTCATCAAGGCTATGGACAACATTTATCATGTGAGTGGAGAGCAAGTGGGCAATAGAAATACCTCCCCTGAGCCAGCAGATCCATGGTGGGGAGATGGGAACAATGACCACGCCCTGTGTAGATGGAGTAGAACGTTTCTTCATGGTGTGGCCTCTCATTCCACTGGGTGGGCCAGTTCCCTCAGGAAACAGTATGAGGTAGAGAAAAGCACCAAGCATGATTCCAAATTATTCTAAATTCTAGGACAATTTGGCTTTGTACACAGATTCTATATCTGTGAGACCCTAGGCTTCTTTCTTGAGTTCTCTCAGCATGACTTCTCACCTGCAAAATGAGCACAGTGCTACCTCAGGGAGCTAGTGGGGGATTAAATGTGATGACACAGCGGGTAGTGAAAGAGAGTTCACCTCAGACTGTCAATGCACAGGGACAGAAACATTCCTGTTTTACAGGTCTGTAGTGTGTTCCCAGATCTCTTCTGTGTTGTGAATGCTTTCTAGGGTCTGTCTCAAAATCTCCCTCTTTGTGGACATTGGGAGATGGAGCGGAGAAGTGAGTTGGGGGAAATTGGAGGGGGAGACAAGCGATGAGAGACTCTGAGAAAAAAACAGAATTTTGGAGGGGAGGGAGATGGGAGGTTGGGTGAACCTGGTGGTGCGTATTATGGAGGGCACGTATTGCATGGAGCACTGGGTGTGGTGCATAAACAAGGAATGCTGGAACACTGAAAAAAAAATAATAAATTGGAAAAAAAAATCTCCCTCTTTGTGAAAGCAGCCATTGGCATACTAAACCAACTTAATCTTGGCCAATATGCATTGCAGGCTTTCCATGTTCAAGACAATTCCAAAAACCTTTGCATATATTCCCATCACAATGGTATCTTGTACAGATTGAGGCCTGTAAAATCCTATTTTATATATAATTAAACTGAGGCATGGAGAGCATAAGAAATTTATCCAGTTCGTGTAGCTGGTAAATGGAGGAGCAGGTAACCACTAAAATTGCCAAGCTACTAGTTAAGAAAGGACTATAACTCATGCCCACAGTAGTACAGGATATCGTCTAGTTCAGTGATTCTTAGTTGGGAGCGATTTTGTTCCCTGGGGGACACTGGGGGTGTTTGGCAACATTTTTGGTTGTCACAGCTATGGGGTGGGTACCAGGAACATTGTCTGCAATGCAAGGGACAAGTCCACTTCCCCAAACAAAGAATTATCCAATGCAGAATGTCAGCAGTGCTGTTTCTAAACCTCCGCACTATTACTTTAAATATGTATAATCTTAACTATTTGGAACTCAGTTGATTACTTAGAAGAAGCAGGATTACAAAACAGGTAGATGCAGGTTAACTAAAAGGAAGAGGGAGGAACCATGACACACAACAGAAGTCAAAAAGATACAGTTAACAGCCTGCTATATGAAGGAAGAAGAAGATATAAGAAGGAGCAACAGTGAACGTTGGCTGTGCCAGTCATGTGGATGGAAACGGTTCCTGGGACAGGAAAGATGGTGGCTGCAAGACATACAGACTCCATGCCCAGGCCACCAATCACAACTAGTACATCTCATATTATGGATCTTTTGCAATTTTTTTTTTTAAAGACTTGAGACTGTCAGCTGATGGAGACAATGAATATGGGAAATGTGGAGACAATCTGTCCTGTGACTTTTCCAGCATAAACTGTAGAATAACCAAATGAGTTTAAATGGCTTAATTATGATAAATAGGATCAGGAGGCAGGAAGCTGACCTGAGTATTTTTGCTTTATTCCATCTAATAAACATTTTATTTATATAAAAGACAAACAATGCATAGAATGAAAATAAGTGCTTGAGACATTTGATATAAGAAGAGTATATAGCATTCACATTCCTATTTTAATACATGAGTACTGCTGAAGTGTTCCATAAAAGAATAAAACTTTCCCTTTCTTTATAGTAGTAAAAAAAAAATCAGTATTTTTAGGAACTACAGAATGTTATTCCTTGGTCTTTTTCTTGACACAGAAAAAAGAAATAAAACAAGCCACAGTATCATCTGACACTACATTCCAGTTTATGCTGATGACCACCCAGAAATGAGAAAGCTCTTTTGAATCTTGGAAAATCCCATTAATGGACCAGTATTCTAGAAATTCACCACTAGAGGTCAATGAGCAACAGCTATTGGGACAGCATCCGCGAGCCCTAAGGTGCATGGAACTTCCGGGCACTTCCTGGGTACTGTCCCGAACTCTCTCAGCTCACGCCCACTGAGCACGGTGCCTCCAAGGTTCACCTAATCCCAAATCTCCACGTATCTGCTAAAACCTCAATGAGATGAGATCTTCCAGAATCCAAATGGAACTCGTCTACTTACTCATTGCCAGTCCTCTCTTGTATTCCTATTTGGCTGAAAATAGGTAGCTTCGAAAACATTTTAGAAAAAGAGACTTTTTTTTTTTTTTTTTGGCAGCATTAACACTTGTTTGTGGGTTAACAAGTTCCTATGGAGTATTAAAGCTCATTCTTTGTTCTTGCCCACATGGACACAGACTTCCTAACTGCAAATGGGACTCCTGTATCCCACATTCAAGTCCTTGCCGGCAAATCCTGCAAAGGGATGGTATGGTGGCGAGAAAGAGAACCGTGGCAAAACCTTCTCGGTAAGAGCTTCCCTCCCTAATGCGGGGGGAGAGGCAAAGCTCTTAATATATAGACAAAAACAGATTTGGCTTACCTGGGACCGCTTAGAGGGGGTCCCCTTCAGTCTGAAAAAAGACCAACTTCAAATCTAACACCAGACCAGGAAGAGGGAGGGACTCAAGCTCATAGAGCCAGAGAAGGGCTGAAGGAAAGTACATTTCTTACAAGAAGCCTTGGTTTGGGGTGGATTTAATACCCAGACGGGGGTGGGCAATGGAAAAGGCAAATGTTTACATCAAGAAGTAAAGCAGCTTTGTAAGTGTGTCTACACCTTCGTTTTGTGAATGATGTGGACTGGGGAATCATGGAAACCATCTGCTATCTATCCTCACTTGCGAGATCCAGATTTTTTTTTTTTTCAAAATCTCCAAATATTTAAGAAGTGGCTCAATTTTGTCAAATGCCGTGCTGGCCAAGCAAAACACATGTTCAGAGTGCCTGAGGAAACAGTTCTGACCACGGCAATGCTGTGCGGCTCAAATCCTCCTGACGAGGCCAAAATGTACCTGAGCATTCTGGAGTCCAGACAGATGGAACCCACGGGTGTTTGCATAGAAAGCTAGAGACTCGAACCAAGCCTGATGAAAAACCGAACACCATGAACCCCAGGGGGGAGATTTGTTCTCTTTAAGGAAAGGGAACACATTTTTATAGTAGCATGGGAATATAGTAACATAGGTATGGGGGCAGGGGGTTAGGGGGTAGGGGGTAGAGGGTGGGGCTTAAAGAAAAGAAAGAGTGATCTCTCCTTAGTAGAATACGTGATGATTTCCTAAGTGGGGAAATTTGTCCTGATTTTTATGCCTGTGACGCCTGCGAAGGTGAAAAACTGGGCTCGCAATTTTCAACTCTCAAAGATGGGATAGGGTTTCTGAGCTGGTTGAGGAAAGTGGCTCACAAACCAGATGTGGGCTTGAAGCTCAAGTGAAAAGTCCAGGAACACGCAGGGGCACACCGGAACCCCAGGATCTGGTCCCCAAACAGTGGGACGCTAATTGGCTCCATAGCCAGAAAAGACTATTTTGCAAAAGCCAGCGTGGCGTGGCCACGGCGGGCTCTGAGCCGCGGAGCCCCTCTCCTAAGGCAGAGCCCCCACCTCGTGCAGGCTGAACACCAGCGCCCACGTTGATTGTCAAGTGCTAATGCTGTCACGGATCCCTTCCTTCTGTGCCTGGTTCCAGAGCTCTCCAAACAAACCAGTTTCCTGGGATATTTGATTTTATTTTCCTTGTCTCCTTCCAGAGTATGGCTGTATATATATAGATATAGACATATATAGATATATATAAAACATAGCTATTCCATATTTATATACAGGCATTAATAAAGTGCAAATGTTATTGGCTATCTCATTTCCTGAGGAAGTGCTAACACAGCTTATCCTATGACAAAGTCAAAGGCATAGAATGCTTCATGTCACCCACTCCCCGCTGCTGGTGGTTCTGCTCAGCCCCACCAGCTTATAGGGAGGGCAGTGACCCCCGGGCTTCCAGGAAGCATTGGTTCAGGTTCAGGGACAGCCTCCTGCTGCCTCTTGTTCTTTGGTGACAGGGGCAGCCTCTTCAGACGTAGGCCAGCCTGCCCCCAGAAGAGCTATTTGGTAGTGTTCAGCGAGCCATCTTCCGGAATCTTCTCCTCGGAGCAGCTCCTCCCTGAGAGCCTGTCCAGGTACTCCAGTTCGCTGAAGCGCTCCGCCACGCACTGGGCAGTGAGCCGGGCCTCAGGGTCGTGGTCCCAACACTCGGTCAGAGTCTCGCACACCATCTGGATGCCCTGCGGTTGGGAGAGAAGGCACAGACACCCTGAGCTGCTGCACCCATTTGCTCCCGGGCACCATCTGATCACGGCAAGTCGTGAAATGGAGAGCCAGCACGTTTGATCGAGACAAGACCTCTCCTGGAGGCCTCTGGGGTACAGAAGCATCCCAATGCTGGAAAACTCCCCTGAAGAATGGCCCTCAATATCCTGTCACCCCCTCAATATCTTGTCACCCTTACCTCTTTTTTAGGGCACTTTTGGGCTTTTTTGTTTCAGGTGGTTTTAGGTTCACAGCAAAACCGAGTGGAAAGCACAGAGGGTGTCCACATACCTCCTCCCCCACCACGGACATCTCGCATCCGTGTGGTGTATTTGTTGCAAGCAATGAACCAACACGGACACATCCCTACCAACCACAGTCCACAGTTTGTAGTGGGGAACGTGTTAGGGGTTCTGACAAACGTGCGATGACATGCATGCACCCTTACCGTACCCCAGAGAGTAAGTTCCCTGCCCTAAAAATCATCTGTGCCCCCACCACCCCTTCTTCCTCCCTCCCTGAGCCCCTGGAGACCACGGATCTTAATGTCTCTGTGGTTTTACCTTTCTAGAGTACCTTGTAGTTGGAATCCTAGACACATTTCTGTTTAAACAGCACCGAATACCGCAATCAGAGTCAAGTCTAGGCTTTAGTCTGATTTCATTTTGGAAAGTCACCGGTTCTGTGGACGGCTTCCAGCAGTTGCCAAGGATGGTCCCCTGGGCCCCACGTCCCACCCCCCCACCCCCAGCAACATCAGGCTGCACTGAAGAAGCAGCTGCCTTGTAGGTCAGCTGGGCTAGATTCTAGGCTATGTCAGAGGGTTTCGTCCAAGCCCACGAAGGTCCCATTCAAAGGCCCATCAAGAAAATGCTGCCCAGTATGGTGGCAAGGGTTGTCTCTCAGGGCTGTCATTTTTATTTTGCATTGCAAATACTTTTTATCCTTTCAAACCCTTTTTTGGCAATAAAGCAGGCAGGGGTTAAATTGATGGGAAGAACTAGAGCCTGCTCCCGGCAGTTAGAGGCTGGTCTGGTCACTGGTGATCTTTCCCCAGAGTGGCCCGGGCAGACCGGATACATCCCAGAACTTTTCCGTCCAACATCTACTACCAATAACTTTCCCAACACACCTAGGAGCCTCTCCCTCCCTTCCCAACCTGTGAGTGAATTCATGATGTTGAATTAATTGTATAATTCACCTAATTGATGGTATTGATTGATGGCCTGTTAAGAGTGGAGTGGTATTGTTGGTACACAAGTAACATTTATTTTACTCTGGCACTGTAATTACAGGCAGTAAATTAAATTAAATATTAAGCATTAACTTGAAATCAATAGGGCAACAAATCTCATTAAGAGAAAAAATGTATTATGCAAATTCTTTCCAGAATTTTATCATCATGAATAATGGCTTCATTACTAGAACTGTACAGCGGAGGAGGCAACAGAATCTGAGAGAAATAACACCGGTGCCTTCTGATTTCAGAGGTAACACAGAACAGACTTGCCTTTTCAGTCAGAGAGGCTTTGCCCAAAACCCCAGGGGAAGCCCTGGGCCGCAATGGCCTGGTTCACGCTCTCTCCGCTGACTTTATTAGGGTCTGTCTGCTGAAGTGGCTCCAGGCCAGGATTGGCACAGACCGGGCTTCCTGCTCCATCTGTCTTCCTGATTGCGCGTGATTTGTTGTTTCTGTTTCTTATCTCAATTTGCCTGGCCCTGAGGAAAACCTAAGACTTTGCCCCAGCCTTCACTGGATAAGGGAATTCTTCCCAAGGAGGCAATAAAACTATTTACTCCGTAGAAAGATCAGCTCTGTCGGTGAGATGGGAGTGCACTGTTCTCTCTCATTCCTCCTTCATGCTCTCCTGGGTATGTTACATGGCCCTCTCGGCCCCGCCACCCGCCACTTTCTTCTTTTTCTCTGACCACTGCCCTCCTCGAAATGCCCCCAGACAAAGAATCTGGATAGTTCTCCCTCGTCCTGTTAAGTCCAGAGCCGCTATCCTTCCAGAAATGGCCAACCTACCATCTCTTGAAAGCAAAAAAAGCAGCAGCCAGGAAGATGTGCCCCACAGACACATTTCCTGTTTGTTCACTTGCACTTTCTTAATTCTCTTGGCTCTCTTCTTTCCTGAACCGGCCTCATCTTTGCAAACTCTGTGCACCCAACCCAATATGGCCCTGAGCACAAGGCAATGGGCCCCCCAGTCCAGCTGGCTGACAAACTCTGCTTACTTCTCACTTGCTAAGTATTTCCTTCTAGAGCTGAAGATTCCCAAGAGAAAATATCTGGAACCCAGAAGGCAACAAATCACAAACACTCTATGTAAAGTCTACGGGGTGAGGGGCAGAGCCTGCAAACAAAATATTTCAACCCAGAAACAAGCGGGCTTGCAAAGTGGGACAGATACCCCTCAAATGATTATCTGAGAGCCGTCTTTGAATGCCGTGTCTACCTGCTGCTTGGAACTCAGAACAAGTCTATACCATTTGACTGAAATTTTCCTTATAAACAAAACCTAAGAGGACCCTAGAACACAAAGGGACCCAGATTAAAGCCCAATATCCTACAATCCTCTCCTCTCTTAGAGGCTACTTCAGAGAAATCTTATTCTCCCCTCCTAACAGCCGTTCCTTACCTGGTGGTTGAGCCAGGAGCTGGGAATTTCTGGTCGCCCTCGGTCTCTCAGAACGTTGTCTTTCATGCTCTCAACACAGGGATGCTCCCGAACCTTGGAACCAAATGGAGGCTCGTAATCTTTCACTTCTGTTAAAGAGAGCAGGTGAACACGGGGCCATTGAGAAAGGCATGTGCAGCTGGGGACCTGAGCAGGCTGAGAGCTCTGGCTGAGAAGCCTGAGGCACTGAGCATCAAAATATATCTCTGATTACTCTGAGAGCAATTTTTAAGAACGGTGGATTAAAATAAGAAGGAAGGAATGGTTGTGGAAAGAGCTTGAGAGATATTCGACAGATAATCGTCAGGGGCTTATTATGAGCTAGGGACTGTGCTAACAGCTGGGGACAGAGAAGAACAAGACCAACAAGGTCACTGAGCTTTCATTTCATTTATTTCTTAAATTAATTAATTGATTATTTTAGACACAGTGAGAGAGAGAGAAAGAGCACAGGTCGGGGGAGGAGCAGAGGGAGTGGGACAAGCAGACTCCATGTTGAGCTCAGAGCCAGCCTGGGGCTTGATCCCACAACCCTGAGATCACAAACTGGGCCGAAATGAAGACTTAGGTGCTAAACGGACTGAGTCACTCAGGCCCCCCCTGAGGTTACATTTTAATGCAGGCATTCTTAGTGGGGTGATACTGCTCCAAGGGGGACAAAACTGGTTCTTGGGAGGTAGAAAAATCCTACACATTACGATGATTGGTAGCCTAGTGAAGGTCCCCAGTATATAAACAGGTTTAATATAAACAGAGAGCATGAGAGAGGAGAAGGTCAGAGGGAGAAGCAGACTCCCCAAAGAGCTGGGAGCCTGATGCGGGACTCGATCCTGGAAGTCCGGGATCATGACCTGAGCCGAAGACAGTTGCTCAACCAACTGAGTTACCCAGGAGCCCCGGGATGGCCTATTCTTATTGGTTTATTTGTTTTCTCTCCTTTCCCAGAACCCCCCTTTGCATATTCATCTTTGTGATACTCCCACTCCCACACCCAAGTAGAAGAGCAACCAGGATATCGTCTTTTCTCAGGAGATTTGAGATGAAGGCCTTGCATCACATTGAGACAAGCACAAACCATCCTTCTGTGTGTCTACTTTTGTCCTTGAGTGCCATAACGCTTCCTCCTCACTGTTCTAGGGGTGAGAGTGGAACTTTGATCAGCATAATATTCTTCTTTCTTCCTTACATTCCCTTATCTTCTATAGACTTTAAATTTGTAAGGTCCAAGGCAGAGGCTGAGTCTAGGGTCTTCCAATTCCCCACTCAGTGCTTAAAAGTGTGCCATATACACAGCAGGCATTCACTAGATAGGAGTTGGGTTGAATCCAAACAAAAGCAGAGGACTGGCAATCAGAGCTGGTTCTCAGTACAGCTGACTCTGACCTAACCCCTCTCTTCTATAAATGGAAGGGGCTGAATTGGATGACCTCCATATTCCTCTGCAGACTTATCTTGTAATCCAATCTAATCGAACAATATGATGACCTCTTAGCACACTGACTTGAGGTATGTATATTCTAATACAGTATAATGGGATAGGATTTGTATAGGATATAAAGTGCTCTTTAGATAATCTATCAGTCCACAGAGTGTCCATTTCCAGCTGTTTTGGCTGCCATAGCTGGTGTCACTGGCTCCCTGCCCAGATCCCTTTACCCGGCCAGCAGCGCCAGAACCCAGCTGCCACAGGTGTTGAGTTCTGAGGGCTCACACCTTTGTCCTCTCTGGAGGACTGCTGCTAGGCCTGGAGATTTCCAGAAAGTCTCATCCCCACAGTACCCTGCAGCCAACAATAAATTTATGTGGGGGTTTTCATAGTCTAACCCTTTGCCTCTGCAGGGAGAGGACTGTGGGGCAATTCACCCTCTAGAATTCCCCCATGAGATCAGGCCAAGGCTAGAACTCTTGAAACTACAGGTTTGCTGAGCTTCTCCCATCCCTGCTTCTCTTACTCCCTTCCTTTGAGACCTATTCTCAATGAACCATTGCACAAAAATCTTTGTGTCAGGGGCGCCTGGGTGGCTCAGTGGGTTAAAGCCTCTGCCTTCAGCTCAGGTCATGGTCTCAAGGTCCTGGGATCGAGCCCCACATCGGGCTCTCTGCTCAGCGGGAAGCCTGCTTCCCCTTCTCTCTCTGCTGCCTCTCTGCCTACTTGTGATCTCTCTCTGTCAAAATAAATAAATAAAATTAAAAAAAAAATCTTTGTGTCAGACTAGTTCTAGTAAAGCTGGCCTAAGACAGCTGCCAAGGAAGTGCTTTCTCTTTAGGTCAATCTCTCAGTGAAACTGCCCCCTCTGACCCTAGCTGCAAAGCCACCCTGAGGAAGACTTGCTAGGGCTTCTTCTTGAGAAACTGAATGTACTAACCCATCAGTGATCCTCACAGCACAGTGCTCAGAAAGGGGCAGGGGATGACCATGGTCAGGGAAGGAAAATGGCAGGATCAGAATCAATCCCAGGTGTCGATCTCATGGCTGAGATTCCTTCACAACAAAGGAAACCATCTTCATAGTTGAGGTTATAACCCAGGGCCAATTTATTTCATTTCTAGTCTTAATCTTCAAAGTCACATAAACCACAGTGTCTAATTTTGTAAGTTCTGTGGGGACCAAAGCAGGTTTCCATGGGGAATGGGAGAGCACTCAAGAGATGCATAGGACATCAGGGACGGGTAAAGGAAAAGTCATGAACGCTCCTTTGGAAAAGAAGACAAAGACGACAGTCCTTCACCAGAGCAAAGAGAATTTTAACTGGATTACTTCCTACTTTTCCTAAAACATTGGGAAGTTGTGAGATTCTCTAGTATCCCTAAGGGGTATGAGGTCTGTTTCCATTATGTGACTTGTGGGAGAGTTCGTAGGGAAGGGAGGTCAAGGACAGCCTGAAAGCAGCTGGCCCTGAGCCAAGCTGGGAGAATGTGAATCCATGAGTCTCTTTCTAAGTTCAAATTAGACAAGTCTGGGTGAGCATCATGTGGCCCAAACAGGCATACCCCAATTCCTGAACAGTGAAGTAGTCTTTCAGGTGAGGAACCAAGATGGAGACTTAAAGCGCATGCACGTTTAAAAAAAGTAAAAAGAGAAAAAGAGGGGTGCCTGGGTAGTTCAGTTGGTCAAGCGTCCAACTCTTGATTTCGGCCCAGGTCATGATCTCAGGGTCCTGAGACAGAGCCCCACATTGGGCTCTGTGCTGGGCATGGCACCTGATTATGATTCTCTCTCTCCCTCTCCCTCTTCCACTCCCTCCCCTGTGCTCTTTCTCTTTCTTAAAAAAATAAAAAATTAAAAAAAATAAAACATATGCATGTTTTAAGCTGACCTTTCTTCAACTCCCGGAGGATGTCATACTTATATAATACATATTTTCCAAGACAGCTAATTTTTGTCTTTTTTTGGTCTTACTGTGGATTTTTACAATTCTTCTTTCTTTGCTCTTTGCCCACAGTTTAAGCATACTGTTCCCACCTATTTTTTTAGTCATGCTCTAGAATGATGACCTATGCTTGGCAGTGCCTCTCTGTCACCAGCTTTAATATCTGATTGTGGCAGCATGAAAACCACCGTCAGCCAGTAATGCCTCCCCGCCCCCCTTTTGTGGCTGTGAAGGCAATGTCATTCTCAGACCTCCACCCCAATGCGGAGTTTAACTGCTGACAGACATTATGCTGGAGACCTCTTCTTCCTGGAGGGCCTTGTGCTAACTGCTCCTCAGGTCTGCCCAGAGGCCCTCAGGATACGGAGTACATCTGCTTTGTCTCCAGCGGAAGGAGGTGGCCACAGACACCCGGGTGGAGGCCTTAATTCCAGGCAGGGGTTTGAGGGCAGGAGGTCTCTGCTAGCCGGGTGGGCACCGATGGTCCTCCCGGGGACGGGATATCAAGCACAGATACCAGGATGGTCCTGAGGTATCGAGCAGAGCGAGTGACAAGCCAAACCAGGGACTAGTTTTAGCTCCCACTTTCTCCCATGGTTTCAAGCATCTAGAGGCTGAGACGTTTCAACCACTCTGGAAAAACTGCTGGGCCCCGATTCCATATCTTTTATCCCTACTTATCCATTATCTTTATCTATTTATTTTTCATGTTGGTGCTTGAAGTATTTTTATTTTAGAAAATGCACGTGAGGGGCACCTGGGTGGCTCAGTCGGTTAAGCATCTGCCTTTGGCTCAGGTTGTGATCCTGGGGTCCTGGGATCCAGCCCCAACATTGGACGCCCTGCTCGAGGGATGCTGCTTCTCCCTCTCCTCCTGATTTGTGCTCTGCTCTCTCTCTCACTATCTCTATCTCCCTCTCTTTCAAATAAATAAATAAAATATTTTTTAAAAAAAGAAAAGGAAAAAAGTGCATGTGATTAAGACTCCAAAATTACTAAATAGACAGATACGGCAAAAGCAAATCTTTCTCCCAATCCTCATTCCTAGTTGCACAAAACTGGCTTAGGTTGACTGCTGGGATTAAAGGTGACTTAAAATTTCCCCTTACTGTTTACGATGAGCCCTTCTCAATCTGTATTTTTATAAAAGATGAGGTGTTTCACTCCCCAGTTCACTGGAGACTGAAGCTTGAGTAAAACACCACGGAAACAAATCACAAGACAAATGAAAGCTACTCGGGTGTCATGGGCAACACCAAACTGCTCTTAAAGTCACAAAACACCCGCTCTGTCCTCATCATGTCACAAACCGGGAACGACCCATCCGAGAACCAGCACCTTCCACGGAACCGGCTTGGAGCGGCACTGCTGTAAATGTTTTTGCAAGGAAGAAATAGGAGTTGCATCTTGACAGAGGAAGTGAATACAAGTTATTAAGCACACTTGAAGCATTACAAATGAGTCAGACAGGGAATATCGAAGAAGAGTCTCCGAAGATGTGATCCAACACTTCATTTTACAGTTGAGAAAAGAGAGGCCAGAGCGTGCACTGGATTCCGGGAAGAACACTCAGAATTGCACGCTAGATTACTGGTAACTCTGAAAATGGTTTTGCCTTTTTAGGAAGCCTTGCATGCTTTCTCCTCTCTCCTCAAGCACTGCAGTGAGCTCTTTCTCCCCCAGCCAGAACAAGCCCAGCTGGGGCAGCCCCAGGTGGG